AAAAAAAAAAAAAAAAAAAGAACTGAATCACAGGATGGGGCGCAAGGTTCACATCTATAATCCCAGCCCTCTAGGAGGCTAAGGTGGGGGGATTTCCTGAGCTCAGGAGTTTGAGACCAGTCTGAGCGAGACCCCCATCTCTAAAATTAGCCAGATGTTTGTGGCTAGAGCCAGTAGTCCCAGCTACTTGAGAGGCTGAAGCATGAAAATCACTTGAGCCCACAGCACTCAACCCTAGGGCAACTGCAACACTGTTTCCAAAAAAAAAAAAAAAAAAAAGAGAGAGAACCGGCTCCCCAGCCGGAACACAGCGGTTACCGCACCAGCCACATACATCCAGGCTGGCTGGTTCGAAGTCGCCCTAGCCAGTTAAACAACAGTGACAATTGCAACAAAAAATAGCCGGGCGTTGTAGTGGGCGCCTGTAGTCCCAGCTACTTGGGAGGCTGACGCAAGAGAATTGCTCGAGCCCAAGAGTTAGAGGTTCCTATGAGCTGTGACGCCAAGGCACTCTACTGAGGGCGACATAGTGAGACTCTGTCTTAAAAAAAAAAGGGGGGGGGTGTCCCTAGCTCAGGAGGTCCGGCAGGGCAGTTCAAACCTGCCCCTGGCCCTGGCCCTGGCCTGGCCAGCTAAAAAGAACAATGACAGCTACAACAACAACAACAAAATAGCCAGGCTTTACAGCGGGCGCCTGTAGTCCCAGCTACTTGGGATACTTAAGAGAATCGCCTAAGCCCAAGAGTCTGAGGTTGCTGTGAGCTGTGATGCCACGGCACTCTACCGAGGGGGACATAGTGAGACTCTGTCTTAAAAAAAAAAAAAAAAAAACCCAAATCATTTTGACTAAAAATGTGAGCGTGTGAGATGAAAGATTACTCTCACCTATAATGTCCTGAACGCAATCAGAGCCTTTCCTTAACAGTGATCAAAAGCCAGAAACCATTATATTAGATGTTATCTAGTTTCTATAAGTTAGCCAAAAAAAGCAGCTTCATTGGGTCATTTGTTGAAAAAAAAATAATTTATAGAAACCACACCAGCAGTCTTGCAACAGAGCTTGCCCAATACACTACCAATACTAATTGCTACTATATTGATTTTACTCTTATTCTAATACACATTAAAAGACTAATTTATTTGAAAGGGTAACATATGGAAAAGGTTACATGGCACGTTGCCTTTTATACGTAATATCTTGTCTTAAAATGAACCTTGTAGGCAAAGTTTACTATTTCCAATACTTATCGTTTAAACACAAGGATTAAAAACTACTAAGAACATGACTAAAGTTTAAAAACTGTGGTCAAAATAGTTATTTTTAAGGGGCAGTGCTTTCCTGTTACCAATTTTTCAATGATCATAATACCTCCCAAATGAACTACAGTCATTTTCTTCTTACTAGGAAGACCCGGGACATTTTTTAAGGGACTCAGATTCTGACCTGGTCCTATTTTTTCAGCCTCCAGCTCCGTAAGAATATAAATAAGGGTAAAAACAGAATTGAGAGCTAAAGAAAACACCAATGAGGGGAAGATCTAAAAAAGAGGGAAAAAGGCACAAGGGGTGGAGGGAAGGCAGAGCACAGTTAAACAAAAGGAAATAGCTAAGAAAGCATGCTACAAGCAAAACGGCCCCTCCCGGACCACATGCCGGGTATAGTAAGTTCCATCTGTCAGCGTCGGGAAAGGACTGCTAGACATCCCTTGGCCATTGTTGCTACAACAGGCTACAGCGTTTGGAGGGAAAAAAGAGCACAATCCCCACGCCTCCCTCCATCTAGTAGCAATCGGGAAAAAACGCGCGTCCGTCAAGCTGACCGAACACCTAGCTCCAGTCAGGAGGGCGCGCAATCAGAGGGCGGACCCGGGCTCCGGGGCCTAGAGTCAGGCCCGGCGTCTCCGCGGCGGGAAGGACCGACCTACGAGCTGGAAGGGCGGGAAGTAGCACTCTCGCGCTGCATGGGGAGAAGGATAGGAAGATGTACGGGGCTGGGAGCTGGGATAGCCACTGAGGCCTTTCTCACCATGGCGCCAAACTCTCTTCGCTGCAGCCCCGACCACACCACCGCCGCCACACGAGCTTAGCCGCAACGCCGCCAACAGCCAATCCCCGCGAGAGGAGCCACCGGAAGTCGCCGGGTGCGCAACGCGAAGAGCCTTTTGGATCATAGACTCTCACTTGCTTCCGGCAGCTAGAGCAGCTACTAACTCTGTTTCAGCCATCTTGAGTAAGGGCAGTGAGCTAGGTGAGAGAACCTTTCGGAGCTTTAGAAAGCAATTTTTTCCAAGACACTGTCTTTAATTATTTCCTTATTGGATCTATGATTAAAGAGATCATTATTATAGATGGTGACTACACTTATCTTTTATTAGCCCTTATCAAAAATGGCGGCAGTGTGAGCATCCCGGGCCATAGATCGGTTGTAACCCGGAAGTTTCCTTCCAAAAGGGGTGGTGGTGAGATAACCCGGAAGTAGATGTAATGAAGAGGTGCCACTTGGCGGCCATGGCAGCTATAGTATTGGCGACTGTGGGTCAAGGCCCGACGGAGTGGAGTGTCATGGGCACCACGGGGTGTAGGGCAGAGACAGCTTTGTATCAGCTTTGCTGCTGAACCTCTAGGATCCATCGTCAAAGGCCTGCAGGACTCCTTGTTCCTTCCTAGACTTGGAGGGGAGTTTGCCGGGACTGGTGGGCTGGTCCTTGCCCTGGGGGCGTGGATTACCTGCGGGGCCGCCTGTTGGAGACCAGGGCACGGAAAGAACTTACAGGTTCGCTTGGGTTTTCCTCCTTTTCCTTCTGCCGCCTGAGACGTTGTGCCGTCCTCATTACAACAGTTGAAGAAATTGCTCATTCGCACATTTTCCCCATTAAGTTTTCCCGTTTCTGTTAACCCACGAGAATCCAGTGACTGGCATTTGAGACTACAGGGCTGGGACCTAAGATTGCTGAAAGTTTTCTCTGGTGCTAATAGCAGCAAAAACGGGCTGTGTCTAGGTACGTTCGAGAGAAGGTGCTTGGTGAACGAACCTGCTGTAGGGAGGCCAAAAGAATTGGAAAGCCCGCTTGTTCTCTTGGAACTACCGTACGCGTTTAGAGAATCGAAGCACCTTTTGAAGCCACTGGATATTTGTAGTCTGGTGGAGGGTGAATAAAGGAGATCAGAATGGATGATTTCATCTCCATTAGTCTGCTATCTCTGGCTATGTTGGTGGGATGTTACGTGGCTGGAATCATTCCCTTGGCTGTTAATTTCTCAGAGGTAAGAAATTCTCAATTTTCTGTCAGCTGACCGGACGGCTGCTAGGAAATAGTGATAGTTGCAAAGCTGTTTCCCTAGTTAAACTCAGAGCTAAAGATCTCTTTAAGGAAGACTATATTTAAAAAATAAGTAATTTGTAAGGAGAGAAACAAACTCATATTCAGCAATAGAATTCTTAACCTGGATTGAATGGATATTCCACTGAAGATCCTGGAGTATTGTGAATCCTGTAAAATTGCATGCTAGAATCTGGGGCTCTGAATTTTCCTGGAGAGAGGCACCATAACATTTCTTTTGATTCACAGAGGTTTCAAGAAATCAAGTTTCCAGATTATTATCAGGAAAAAAAAAAACTGGAAAATGTTACTTGTCCGTGAGTTTAAACCAATATAACTTCTCTTCGAGAAAATCAAGCATACTTTTCCGAGAAAAGCTAAAGGTTTTATTTTGTTTTGTTTTGGTGGCAGTGCTAGGATGAATGTACAAAAATAAAGCCACATTAGGTTCTTTTTTTTTTTTTTTTTTTTTTTTGAGACAGAGCCTCAAGCTGTCCCCCTGGGTAGAGTGCCGTGGCATTATAGCTCATAGCAACCTCCAACTCCTGGGCTCAAGCGAGTCTCCTGCCTCTGCCTCCCAAGTAGCTGGGACCACAGGCGCCCGCCACAACGCCCGGCTATTTTTTGGTTGCAGCCATCATTGTTGTTTGGCGGGTCCGGGCTGGGGATTCGAACCCGCCACCTTAGGTGTATGTGGCTGGCGCCTTAGCCGGTTGAGCTATAGGCGCCGAGCCACATTAGGTTCTTAATTCACATTTCCTTTTAAAGATCACTGGAATGGATATTCTGAAGTTTTCAAATCTTTTTGCTTAAAGATGAGGTTACCTGCCTGCTGAATTTTAATATATATATTTAGGCCTTTGATTAATTGTTGTTGTTCCTTGAACAAACATTAGCAAAGGGTGAAGAAGGATAGATGAAAGCATTGTTTGATGAAAATGCAGTTAGGCTCTTTAGATAGACATAAGATTTCACAAAGTACATTGTGCTCAAAGATTTAGAGGGGAAAGCAACTACATTCAGAGGAAACCAGAATTCATTAGTTTGTTCTGGAGTTCATCTGTAAAAAAAAAATAGGACCTAGCTAGCCTCAATACTAGTTCTGAAAGTACTTTCGAAGGAAAGAAGAGAATAGAATGGGCTGACATAGAAAGAAAAGGTAAAAATAAGGTATGAAGTAGGCCTTGAAGAAACTTGAGGGAGATGAGGCATTACTGGTTAGGAAAGTAGCCTGTGGGTGGGAAAGAAAGAGGAGTGTGGCAACACATGTTAAGGAAAGGTAATGTAGCCAGAGTGCTTGAATTGTTTTCCTTTTTTTTTTTTTAAGAGACAGAGTCTCACTTTGTCACCCTCAGTAGAGTGATCTGGCGTCACAGCTCACAGTAACCTCCAGCTCTTGGGCTTAGACGATTCTCTGGCCTCAGCCTCCCGAGTAGCTGGGACTACAGGCATCCGCCTGGCTATTTTTTGTTGCAGTTTGGCTGGGGCCGGGTTTAAACCTTTGGTGTATGGGGCCGGTGCCCTACTCACTGAGCTACAGGTGCCACCCGACTCAGACCTGTTCTTAGCCATTCTTCATTTCAGTGAAGGAGCGTGGCACATGTACAAAATGCAGCCCGCAGACTGATTTTGTTCAATTAACAGAATTTTTAATTTTACTATTATTGTTGCTTTTTGCCCATATTCCCTCAAGGCAACAGTGGGGTGGAGAACCTGATTGTCACTCCTCCTAAGCCTGTGGAATGGAAGCCTCCTTCACTCATTTGGGTTACCTGCCTGCTCAGTATTTTGTGAGCCTGACATAACCAGAACCTCAAACTCTTGGACTCAAGTGATCTTGCCTTAGCTTCCCAATTAGCTGGGACTGACTGCAGGTATCCACCACAGCGCCTGGCTAGTTTTAGAGGCAGGGTCTCACTCTTGCTCAGGCTGGTCTTGAACTCTGAGCTCAGGCAGTCCGCTTGCCTCAGCCCCCCAGAGTGCTAGGATATAAGTGTGAACCACTTTTCCTGGCCTCATATTTTCTTATAACTATGTTAGAATTGAATTGACATAATTAGAACTGACATTTGTGAGATTTGGGTTTGTTTGTTTATTTATTTCTTTGAGACAGAGTCTCACTGTGTTGCCCTCAGTAGATTGTTGTGCCGTCACAGTTCACAGCAACCTCAGACTCTTGGGCTTAAGCGATCCTCTTGCCTCAGCCTCCTGGGTAGCT